ACGAGATGCACTAACATTTTTTACTTTATGTATATATCGTTATGCAGCTAATAAAATATTGGACCATAATCTAATTTACGAGTATAAATTGATAATTAATAGCAAGTTCTGTAATGTCATGTAAGAAATGGAAACTAAATACACGTCCAATATCTCATATGTTAAATATGTATCGAGAAGTGAGAATATATATATATATATAGAATATATCAGAAAAAGTATAATAAAAAAATCTTGTAGCACTAGGTTTATTTTTAAATTATTATATTATTGTATTCCATTTTTTGATGTAAATAGATGTGTTTCGGGTAAAAATAATTGGATATCACTATACCTGGATACTTCGTTGGTTCTTTCAGTAGATGATGATGATGTTTTCGCTTGATCATAGGAGATGGTGCTACGTCGACCAACAGAACCAGGAGCAGGTGAGGTTAACGGCCGACCACCACCTACTCCTGCGTTCATTGTGTTGCTCTTGCCTACCCTTGCTTTACCACCAGGACTTGTACCCACGCCTAGAATGAACATTGTCACTGCAAGCCTCATTAGATATGGTTCAACACAAAACAAAAAGCAACATACTTTAAATTATAACAAACAGAAACATATTAAAAAGATTACGAGTTGCCGTATAAAATGTCTAACCTGCTTCCATATTAAGGGACAAACATAGAATAAAGTAATACGATTGTCTCTTTCTTGTCAATACATTGTAAGTATCATGATAAATGATCAGATTTTAAGGATATATGATATGCGGTAAAACTATGATGAAAAACATATAAGAACATGACATTAATATGACATTAAAGTACGATCAGAATTTTCGATAACAATATGATTGTATATAAATATGATAAAATTTGATTTATGTGAACAATACAAATAACACAAATAACAGATAAATTACAAATTAATTGCAAGTTCAATAAATTAGCTATTAAACCGCTGCAACCTTATCCAAAGCAATCTCCCTTATCCAAAGACTTTGCTCAAGCATCACGAAGGAAATATAGAGCGACAAATAATTGAATATCTATTCATAAGAAATTTTTATCATAAAGAATCGTTGAAGAATAAAGTATAACAACTCACTAGTATCTAACTGCCCAGGCGTTTGACTATTTTTAGGTGCAGAGGGTCGACTTGCAGAAACACGAGCACTATTTTCCTTGATCGTGGCTGCGTCCACGGTATTTTGTCGTTTAAAATTACTACCTCCACTTCCAGTCACAGTTGTGCCAGTTACTGCAGTCGCGTGATTGTGATTCGTTGCGTTACCTGGACTGGGTGCGCCTCCTAATCAGGAAAAAAAATTATTGAAATAAAATCTTTTATTCAGACACAGCTTTTGTACTAACAGATGTATATCAACAAAAACAATCCTGTCGTTTTTTGTTATTATATTTCAACATTCGTTATGTCACTTTTATTATAAATTTAACAATGAAATTATATACTATTTAGTAAAGTATTTAGTAACTATTTATTCTCTTTCAATATAATAAATAATACAAAAATTATTGTATAAAATTTACAATTTTCGACCACAAGAAATACAATGTCTTGTCTTACCCAAGTTTAATAAGTATCCTTATCCATGCTTGTTACTTGACAGTAAAGTTTAAGCTGCCATACTGCATTAAAGAGTTATGGTTAAAACGGACACGGATGTAACACTTACGAAGAGTTTCACCACCAGACGAGGCCCGTCTACTGGGTTTTGGATTGCTAGCAGAAATACTTCTGTGAACACCTCTATGAGATGGACTCTGTACTGCGCCACCTGTTCCTCCACTACTTCCTCCTCCAGCACCTGAACTGACTTGAGGTGGAATGTTACGCAGCGACAATGAACTACCTGATCGTGATCCATCGCTTTCAGGCTGTACAAACAGAAATTTGGGAAAATGTAAAGAAAACACAGAATTTTGACGCTATATGCTGCATATTAATCTTGATATTTTGTATACTTACGTCTGTCGTTTTTCTACCTAAGAGCAAGTAAGTGGCGAATACATCGTCATATTTCGCTTGTCCTAAAGAATCTTCTATTTCACTTCGAGTATATCCCATACTGGCTAAGGCCTCTGAAATAAAAATGCGTGGCGGCATAGTCACATCCATTAGAGTTGCAACAATTTTTCGACAATAATCAAAATTAAAAAGATGCAAAAAGAAAATCAAGACAAGAAGCTTTGCTACGTATTGTTATAAACAAGTACTATTTAACATTTAGAAACACATTAAATTCTTAAAAATTGGACTTATCGCTTTTATGACGTATATCCATATTTTAACACTCGTTAAAAATAAGATATGGTTTTAGTAATCAATTTATTAGCACTGATTAGAAAAAAAATTTTACATTTTGACCAAAATATATATTATCATGCAATTAAAAAGTTTTTTAAAAGCAAATCACATACAAAGACACACAGATATACACATAAATATATCAGACTACAATAAAAATTAAAAAAAAAAAAGTGATGTTTTTACGCTGTGCTTAGAAAATGTGCGCATACAAATTTCTTACTTGATACACTTTAGTGAAACATTATTTTAAATCGTGTGTATCCTAAAGACTGTATTCAGCATTCTAATAGAAAACTGTGACATAGTATATATTACTAAATAATATTGAATAAAAATTGTCTGATATATTTTGATATTAATAGTGATTATATTGCACGATTATTCAACTACAAGAAACATCCGACAATGTGAACATTCTCCTTGGAAAAATTGTACAAAAATCCAGAATAGTAAAACAATCACGAGAAATCATAATATACAATATATACAGTGAGTACACGTATATACGTGCGTTGAAAAAGACAAAAGTTGATCTTTATCATTAATCACAAGTAGTATAGAATGTTCACAAGGGGTGCGACATTAAACATAAACACGGTAAGTAGTAAGTGTTATGTACATACTGGCAGACTCACCTATCCTCTTGTGATCTCTATAATCAGGTTCAGGTTCTAAGTACGGCTTTAATTCGTCATCTTCATATCCCAAATTCATCCACTTATCTTTCATTATGTTCTACAGTAAAAAAAATAATTATATTATTTCTTTCAAACATGACTTACGTACGATTAAAAAATATCGCTTGTAAACTAATAAGACAATATGAGACAATCAATACCTTAATTAATAAAGTGATAGAGCTCAAGAATAAGTCACAATTCGAACCTCACGTACCTCTAGTGAAGCTCTTTTCGTTGGATTGAGCACTAAGAATTTCTTAAGAAGATTTTCACAGTCGGTGGACATATAAAACGGAATTCTATATTTCCCCCTTAATACCCTTTCCCTCAATTCCCTCAATGTCGAACCATCGAAAGGCAGTGAGCCGGATACCAGTGTGTATAGGATTACACCTAACGACCATACGTCCACTTCCGGACCATCGTATTTCTTTCCTGTAAACGAAAAATTGCACAGATAAATTTTAAGTTTGCATACAAATCCGCATAAGTCATTTTCAGGGGGAATACCTTGAAAAAGTTCCGGCGCAGCGTACGGCGGCGAGCCACAAAATGTGTCTAACTTGTTACCGGGTGTGAATTCGTTGCTAAAACCGAAATCGGCGATCTTGATATTCATTTCACTATCGAGCAACAGATTTTCGGCTTTTAAGTCTCTGTGTATGATCTTCTTTTGATGGCAGTATTGCACAGCAGAAACGATCTGCCTGAACTTCGCTCTCGCTTCTTTCTCCTTCATTCGCCCGTGCAGGACCAGGTAGTCGAAGACCTCGCCACCACTGGCATACTCCATTACCAGGTACAGTGTCTTTTCAGTCTCGATCACTTGGAACAATTTCACTATGTTTGGATGGTCAAGCATCTTCATTATCCTGACTTCTCGGAATAGCTGTAATTTATCAGATGCATCAGCATGAATCACGTATTTACATTTATGAGATGCATGTGAAATTTCCAGTTTTTCTCTGTTAAATTATGATAATGTGATATGACTCAAGCGATGACAGTTCTTATAAAAATATTTGCACGCAATAAGTATAATTAAAATAGTAACTTGAACGTTTCAACAATTAACTTAAAATAACGGTTAATGGTATGTAATAGTATCTATGTATATTAAAATGATACAATTTATACTAGTCCTAACAATGTTCTCATTTTTTATATCTATAATTTTGTTTTATAAGGCTTTGTAAAAAAAAAAGAAAATATAAGATAACGTTACCTTTTGAAGACTACCGGGATTCAATTGAGTCTTATCGATTATCTTGATGGCTACTTCCTTCCCCGTGGGTACATGCTTAGCAAGCTTCACCTTGGCAAAGTTGCCCTTGCCAATGGTCTTCAGTAATTTGTACTTGCCGATATGAGGTTCCTCGGAAGTTCGACTCCTCGAGGAGAGCCGACCTCCGCTACTCGACACCCCTACGCCATCTCCCGTCTGTAACACAAAAATCACAATCGATGAGCAAATAAAAGTCATTATTATTAAAGACAATGTTGCCATCAAATTGCAAAATACTCTCATTTCTGAGTAAAAATCGCAAGAAGCAGCGAGTTTTTTCAGTCAAATGCGTAGATGTCAAGTTTCATTTTGTAAAATTAATTACAAAATAGAACAAAAAAATTCAAAATACCAGACATACACAGTCAACATTTTAGATATTAAAACTAGTAAAGAAAATATGCGCGCGCGCGCGCGCGTGTGTGTGTGTGTGTGTGTGTGTGTGTGTATTGTTTCAATCTTAATAAAATAAAGAGCTGAAAATAAAGAATGAATGTACATGTGTAAATAAACATATTAAAAGTAAAATAGCCGACATTATTACGCGATTTCGAGATACAAGCAAAAAACGTTTAATAAAATTAAGAATCATTTAGCGGCTTACGTAAGATGATCAGATAAGATGATAATCCAATCAAAAATCTAAATTCGTTAATCTAAATTCGATTAAAGTGGAAATTATTTTGGACACTATATGTAAGCACCCAGCGTGTGCTAATTTATTTCGAGGAACGGGAGAACGCTGTGCAAAGTTGCGTCGTAAATAGCAAACTATTTCAGAAACTTAGGTCGCATCTCCGAGCGCGGCGTTTAAAGTCACGGAATGGGGCACGAGAAACGGGGCAAACGCTCGTTAAGAGCTCAGCGCGCATTCCTTAAGAATGCCGCATCGCGAGGAATCGCGGATCTCTCCCTCCTCCTCACACAATATCACATTTATTTTCGCGTACTCGCGCGGCCGCACTTGACACTTCCAGGCATGGCAGCGGCAGCGGCCATTGTCAATGGAATTAATTAAAGCTCGTTAAAGTGCACCAGATACAGATTATTCTGAATGGGATATATGCTGGACTCTCATATTAATCGCGAGGACAACCGCTGCGCTACATCGACACGTCGCACGTGCAATTTTTTTTACATTTCTTTTCTCGCTATATCTTCAATAAAAGAAAAAAAGAGAAAAAAGAAAAAAATGGCAGTATCGACATGACAAGCGTATTTATGATGTCAGAGTAATGCGCTATGCTCGTGATTATCAGATACGCGCGTTTAATTTATAAAAGGTATTAAGGATTTGAAATAAAAGCTGTTTACCTATATATATACCTTTACAAAAAGAAAAATATATTATTAAAGCACATATGCCGTATAATAGCAGAGAAGATGAAGAGCAAAAATAATTAGGACAGCAATTTGACAATTAATTTCGCAAGATTTTGATATTACCCTCAGGAGGCCACGCGTGACCATCTTGCGCGAGTTGACGGCAACTTTAGAAGCCGCCAGTTTGACCGCTCGGAAGTTCCAGCGAGACGATCGATGAGTAACGGATCGACGAGGGATTCGACGATAGACTACTTCCTCGTGCTCGCATGCGCGCGATCTAAACCGTCAGTAAATTGGTTTCTCCACCGATATCGCGAGAATATGCAGAAAAAGTTCGACACGGCAGCATATATACATACACAGATCGTGGATCTTAATCGCGATTTCGTTATTCGATCTTTTCGTTACTATCGCTTCATTCACGTGTCGGTCACGACTCTTCTTCCTGACCTTCTATTTTATTGGAGATAGATTAACTTAATTATCTGGATTCTTCTTCAATAACGACGATCTACCGTGATTTTCCATGATCGAGGAGTTCCCGTGGTCGATCGTTTTGGAAGGTCGAACGATGAGTCAACTCGCGGAGCGTATCGCCACGCTGGTTCATTTTCGGGATATACACGGTGTTGTATAAGAACCACCACTGTATTTTAACGATAAACCGATTGCCATGTCATAATCGTCTGTCGCTAGACGAGCACTCCGAGCTCCGATTGGAGAAAAAAGTAAGTGTAATCCGTTGACTTTGGCATCACGATTTAAAGGAATATTTCTTCTGAATTCCGATGACATTTGAATTACATTTCTCGAGTGTGAATTAAATCTCTTTCTTTTATCGTGCGGATCGTTTATAAAATACATAATATAATTCTGCAAACATCCGATATATATTAGGCACTCCTTGTACTGGTATTGACGATTGAACGGTAAATTGAATTTTCGAAAACGATATTTATTCTCGACTAGAGTAGTGTACAGTTCTTGGATTTGTTGTTTTCTGAAAATTTGCTCTTTTCGCAGGATTTAACTTGGCGAAAAAGTGAAGCTTTTGAAAAATTCTGTTTTAATGAAAATAATTTAGATGCATGTAGATATATAATTTTTGATATTTATCAATTCCAATTTTGGTCGCAATCGAATCCAAGGATTTCTCAGCGAAGGCGTGTCACGCATACGTTATTTTTTCAGACATCACAAACTACACTAATATCGTTATCTCGTCAATCTTTAATCAACGATAACAAGGTAGGGTGTCAGCGACACGATCTCTCGTCAGCACAGTCCACATCTAACATCAATTCATCAATGACGATAGTTAGTCAAATTAATCAAATCAAAACGTAATCAATTGGTAATGCGTGTTATCAAAATATTTTTGTAGGAGACCCTATCGAAATTGTGAAATCCAACGGGAGTTTCAATATCACAGTAGGTGTTCCAGAATAAATTTTTTGCGATATCCGCTTCCGTCGGGAGTATTCGAACTTGTGTCAAGGGCAGAGGCGTCACTATCACTGTTCGCGAATCTTTCTCGTTTGCCTGTCACAATTGTCAAGCACTGTTTCATCGTGTTCCACAAAAGAGAAAAAAAGAGAAGAGAGAAAGAGAGAAAGTATTGAGAAGAACGATGATTGAGAAACGCGAAGCGGTTGCTCTGGTCGTCGTCGACGGCGACGACGACCGTACGCGACTGCCTTTTCCCTTTTCTACCCTCGAAACGAGCCACCCTCGGAGAAGAGACCGCACAACCGAGGGATGCGAAGGCAGAATCAATACACGACGCCGCCACCCACTGGTGGAAACGTGAGAACGAACCACCCTTGAATGCCTAGCCTCAACGTCGCCCACCCCCTTTCTGCCATCCCCTTCCCCATGAGAGAACGCATGCGTCGCGAAAAGTGGGAATCACCGACACATGTTTGTTCCGTGTTTTACTCATTTAGTCGAGGGTGCTGCTCGCAGCCGAGATAACAGAGGCTGGTCAGCTGATCGGACCGCGCGAATGTCGCAGAGCGCAAGCGTTGGCATATCTTAAAGAAAAAAACGCTCGAAATATTTAACATGAGTTGTAAAAGACATGGCTTTTTCTTTATTATTATCAAAACTTAGTTATTTATAATTTTGATATTTTGAAATATAAAAAAGGGAAGGTAAAATTGGCATGATATTGTTTTATAAAGAAGGAAAAAATCGAAGATGGAAAAGATTCAGCTTTCTGCTCTCCACCTGTGAGAAAATATCGACTGCTCTAATTCCAAGATATCGATATGTATTATATGTACATCCTGATATATGATGATGACGCACACATCTGTGGGATGTACAGAGTAGGATGCTACATCTTCACCTTTACCTCCTCCTACCTAGCAACGAGTTTTCGCCTCGTCAGCTGCTCGAATCAACTATTATTATGAACACTGAGAAGATTATCGGAAACACAGTCTAGCTCTCTCTCTCTCTCTCTCTCTCTCTCTCTCTCTCTCTCTCTCTCTCTCTCTCCCCCCCCCCCTATATATATTTATATATATAAAAGATAAGACTGATAAATATATTGAATATCATTAAAAAGACTTGCGTCATTAACTTTGGTTCAATATTTTTTAATATTAAAAAAGTGCAATAGATAAGAATAAATCAAGTTAGGATAACGTCGGTATTAATATCGCGGCGATTTTGTAAAAGGGTAAACTGCTCAAACAACAAACTTACAATGTTTTTATTTTCGTATTTGTGAGAGCATTAATTTCTTTTCTTGTCGGACTCTTGAGCGAGAATACTCGAGAAGAATACTACTCAGTGTGAAGAGGGTAAAATCGAAGTTTCTGAAAGAGGCAACAGCAAAAGAGCGCGTTCCGTCAGCTGATCAATCGACCGAGAAAGTAACGATGAGAGAAGAGTCGCGGACATCCACTCCACGCAAAAGGTAGATAAGAATAGATCCAAGTTGACGCGAATTCTACCACGGAAAATGAATTTGCTAGTTCCCGTACACGTAAACTAGCAAATAAATCATGGAGCTTCGTTTAAGTGCTCTGTTAAACGAGAGGATGTCCTCCAGTTGATCGAATCGTGTTCTCTTCTCCGCTATAACAACTATTCAAATAATTCAACGTATTCGAATCTATCTAAATTAATAGTGCATTAATTATAATACAATCTGTTTTGCAATTTCAAAATGATTTTAGGTAAAGAAAAAGTATTTGTGTACCATTTGCATTGAAAAATCGTTGCGTATTAGACTCCCCAAAAATCTTTATAAAATTTAATTAATTTATTGACATAAACTAATTAAATTTTCTATTATTAAATGTTTATTATTAATTTTTTATATATTAATACTTTATATTGTTCGGCATATTATAATCATGGAAATTATCCGTTTTAAATAAAGATGATAATCGTCGGTTTCAGTGAAACTTACGATGCTGATACAGACAAAAACTGCTGACGCTGAATTTCTACGAAGATTATGATTTATGCGTCTTCGTGAAACAGCGAAAAAATGGGAAATACATGATGTAAAACAAAGCCAGCACTTCCGCTTTCGCGGGTGCATCTGAAATTTGTTTTATGGCGACACAAAAGTTGGTACGGATGTAAAATAAAGTCCCGTTCTAGATATATTGCCAGCTTATCGGCTCCACATGACATACAATATTAAAAGCTATGACTTCCGTTGTTTTATCGACGTATATCTAAAAGAATTTTGTTCGAAAAACTATCTTTTTCATGATTTTATCTTCAATATTTTCTATCAGTTGTCAAAGAAATGTTTTTATATTTTACCCTAAAAGATTTATCTACGTTAATAAATAAATTTTTAAAGAAAAAAAAATATTTCTTGCTGAAATTTCCAAAATAAATTTCAAATGCGTTCCGTGTGTAGGTTAATTAGCTTCGATAGGTTGTGCAATCATAACGTCCGAATGGCGCTTTGATAAAGCGGTCGTATCATCCGGATTATTTCAAGTCGAGCGGATGAGCCATAGACGAGTCATACATGTGACGTAAGTGTGAAAATGCATTTGCATTACCATTCGTTTATATTCGATTCGTAATATCGTCGATACACATATACGGACAATCGTAGAAGTCCGCGCGTGATTGCGGACCACACCGTTCCTTTTAACATTTTTCTCCTTTACGTCGCTTATACTTGCGTTTGTGATTTTATCTACTTTCTTAACTGTTAAGGATCTCACTCGTGGCGATTTCGATAATTATCGTTAAATAATCCTCGGCAAAGTTATAACTGCGTAATACCATACAGTCTAATTATTCTACGATAGACATCAAAAAGTGACGCGATTCTTTTTTTTCCCCTCTTTAAATTGGACAAAAATCTTATCGGCAAAACGCTTGATAACATTTTAACGTGAGTGATAACGTTGCAATCGATATGCCTAGCATATTGTATATATAGTACGTATTATATATCTACCTCCTTCTCGCTCTGAATACCCTTCTGCATGTCTGACAATGCTCTGAGCGGGACGATCGTCGCGTTGTTCTGCTGTTGCTGATGACGCTGATGATCCTTCTTGGTAACGATCGGCCGGACGATCGCGCGAGTTTGCGGCATTCTGGATTGTGTTCTCATCTCCGCTTCTTGTCCGCGTCGCGTATCCGAAGCGGTCCTGGACAACTTAACGGTGGGCTTCTTTGGCGTGATGCCGGCGTTTCCGGTGGAATTCCGCGTTGCGTCTCCCCGATGCAACAGCGAGGCCCTTTTTTCGTTTCATTACGATTTGTTCATCATAATAATTCTTCCCTCGACCGTTCAATGTTTTATGATATCGTGTATCGCGAGTATGATGATTAATAACAAACAAGTATACACAGATATCTGTCGAACGTTTTGTGTGATAATGTGTGTTTGGTAATTCAAATAGTGTGGAGAGAGATCAAGCGTAATAGGCAGAACGTTGTATTTGAAGACAGATATAAAGGCAATCAGTAAAAGTGCGATTAAACATCTTTCTAATTTTCAATATCAAATCTCTTAGTATATCAAAATCTTTAATTAAAATATTGTTACGATAAAATCCACTCGAAATATCAACTGGAGAATAATATTTTATTATCTGTTTATTACACCGACAAGAGAGAGGACAATTCGTGCAAAGCCGTTTATTCTTAATCTTTCATAATTCAGAAAATATCCTATCTTGATATTTTTATCGGAACACCAATTATCGAGCATCAATTATCGAGAAGATCTGTGCGTCTGATATTTGCAAGCTATTCAGTGACACTCGGTATATTTATTCATTGAAACATCTGCTCACGTGACACGCAAGCAATACTCCCTTGATCTCTCTCGTTTAGGCGTATAATGACCGATGTGTAATGGCGACGAACCGACGGGAAATCACGAAATAAATCGCTGCACGGTTGCGACATTGCGTAAACTAAATGTCAATTGTATCGAAGAAAGGGACACACGTGGGTGTAACGGACAGTCAATTGTGTGGATCAGGCGTATAGATAGTCGGAACGACGACGAGGATCAGGCGGAGGTTGGACGACGATTTCCTCAATTATCACTAAGACTATCGTCGCTCTGTGAATGTGCCAACGGATCATCTGCGTGCGTCCATATGTGTATACGGATACTGACCGATTGAAATGTTGTGACTTCGAATTTTTTTATGACGATTAACGTGCAACGATTAAAGTATAGTCAATCACGTGAATGGATGATATAAATTTCAAAATGCAATCAATAGCTTTAAATTTTTTATCAAGATAGATAAGATAAATTATTCATGAGATTCGTTTTTAGAATTGACATTTCTATTACTTTTTCTCAATAAAATTAATTATCCCGAAATCGATTGTAAATCAAAGCAAGTAATCTTTAAACATTTAAATTAGTGATTATTTTTTTTAATAAAAAAATCTCGAATGTATGACCGAGATTATCTTTGAATCAAGAGACGAACAAGAGAATTATATGCACAACGTGCGAATGATGTTTGATGATGAATGATAAAAGAGATATCGACGACAATGTCAATGAGCGGATAATTGACGTATGACGTAAACAGAGTATATATTTTACCCCTCGGCCTCATCGTCGGTGACATTTCGTAGCAAGTCCTCGTGTTCTCGATATCTGAGCTGAACTTCCGCTCCGAAATCCGAACTGTTCTCCAGTTGACGCGTCCTCGCGGCAATCGTGTTCATCTCGATGGCCTTAACTTGCTGCTCCAATCGTAGCAGCATATCAGTACTCTCGACCGTCGTCGTGCCCGTCGACGCTGTTCGCTGCTGCTTCAGAATCAAATCGAGACTGAGTGGCGCCTTAGGCTCTGCCGATGGAACGGGTGGTGTCAATTCTGTCCTCGGTTGAAAAAACGGAAGTCCGATCGGTTGGATAATCTTGGACTCATTGAAGACTCTCAACTTCTCCTCCAGATTCGCGTCCACGTTCGTGTCACTGAGGAGTCTCTTGACGGAAACGGGAGTGCGGCCGTAGAGCGGGCTCGCGGGGATCATCTCTTTTGGTCTAATCGGGCTTAAAGCGCCGGTCCGTTTCTCAACTACTTGCAAACCCTTGTCATCCTCCACCAGTTCCCACTGCTTCAAGCCCTCCAAGGGCGTGTGCGGCGCTGACAATCGCTTCGATGTGCCTATCGGGCTCGTTTCCGATTCACCAATAGCCTGTCGATTCACCAGCTGGCGCACTGCCTTTTCCGTGGACGACGGCATCAGGAACTTTCGTGCACCTGCCTGCGGTCGAATCAGGCTTCTGCTGGCTTGTGTTCGCACAAACGGGCTCTCCCGATCGTCCATCATTGAGAAATCTTACGTGGAAACAAAGACGGGAATTGACCGCCGTTAGCTGTTTCTCAGACTCTTCTCTTCAATCTCGTCTTCGTAAAACGATCCTTCATAGATAATGTATCGGTCGTTGATAAATCTTCAACATCGATTCAACGGCCAAACCGATCGATGATGCTGCACGGAAGATTTAGTTTCTGTCAAGAAGAAGATTCGTGTTTTTCTTTTTAAGGAAGATGTCAAGCACTGCGACGTTCATCACTAAACACATCACACAAAACCCAGAACCTGAGAACGAGGCACGATCCAATTGACTGATTCTCTCTTTTTTTCCTCTATACCTTCATTCGATTCACAATCACATATATCAGTAAGCGAACAAGCGGCGGTACGGATATAGGCTTTTTTGTAGATAGGAGAATAAAGCTTTATTGAACGGCGGCACTGTGTTGACTCTTTTTGCAATCGTAACATTGCAGAGACAATAAAGCGCAGATAGGTACGCAGGAACGCTCGCAATCTCGTGGATTACCGTATTAATGCGAGTAGACGAATAAAGCTCGGAGAATTGTAAACATGTGTACGTCCGTATCTGTGTATGACTCAGATGTTTATTATATAATGGCACTTTCACAGAATGAAACAGTCGTTAACTTGAATGCGTCATCAGCACATTGGAAAATTTTCGTATTTTAAAAAGTATAGATATTAAAGAATTACTTAACTGACTTGTGTTACGGAAAGTAACATGGAAAGTTTCATGATGAAATAAACGATACTCATTAAATTGATATAAAAATAATATGCAAATTTTGTCACAATTTTGTATACAGTATGTATCAAGTACAAAATATAAATCAGATTTTTTTTATTAAGTTAAGCAAGAGTATCGACAAAACAAATAAATTTGATGTTAATTTATTAATAAAATTTCCCAATAAAGTAAAGAAAGATATTCATGTATGTAAATATTATAAAATATTTACATAAATATTATTTTTATTAATCAAGTAAGACGATGAAGAAAATGCCAAGATATTGAGTTAAGAACTGTATGTCATACCACGTGCAGTTCTGAGACGCATGATAAGAACGCGTGTATTTATGACTTTCTGCGAGTTTTACCTCGATTTGGCTTAATTCGACGACAGTGAGGTGAAAAATATTTCTTAAACATCATTAATCGACAATCGTTAACGTTTTACTCAAGTTGTACATAATAAATGGCATTTATCACGGAATTAATTTCATAAAAACATTCTCATGGGAATACATAATTCGTATTACGTCAGTCGTATTACGTCATTCAATCATTTTTTATATTTGAGAATCCTATTTAGTCGTTTCATCAATTGAACTAAATTATTATTATGATTTTAGTAATGCGCATTATACGTAAGCAAATAATAATTCAGATTACTATTTAAATATTAATTTTTTTTTCCTAGTGATTTTCTTCTAATAAAACGGTTAACAAAATAAACGAATGTAAACGAAGCACCAATTTTTGCGCTCTATGAGCATTTCTGTTCGTTCTCTTAGGGACTTAGGTGAAGCAGCCAGGCGGAAATTTACTCCGAGATTGAACGAGACGAAGTCTCGTCGATAGATGAAGGGTAGGCAAGCTGTTTTGCCAATGGGAAATTGAACATGTTATTTCGAATATATATGTGATGTAAAAATTACAGCAAAATTGAAAGATTTAACGATAAAATGGTTAATGACAAATAGTTGCTAATAAAATTGTTCCCCAATAAATTAATTGATTGGTCGATTATCGTAAATACGATTGCAAAGCGAGGTTATATAGTTAATCAAATAAAAATTACAATGTGTGTAATGAGTTCTTCAATTCTCATATAGATTTAATGATTTAATATTATATGTATTCTTATATAAATTTAATGATTCAATATTATGATGCTACGATCAAGTATATATGAATTTTCTTTCAATATTAGATACATGCAATTCCTAACTGTTGCAAAACTGTTGAATGTAAAACGATTGTAATTTTTAAGTCCCAAATTGTTACATTTTTAATAAAAATAATGGTATTGATAGTGCAATTATTTTAAAACCATCTTTCATATTCTAAGTGCAGATTTTACAGGATTTATTTTTGCCACTTTTATCAGCTCGTAATACATTTGCAAATTTCACATTGTGTGGTAAATTAAAAGATTAAAAGGCGAGATAACGATATCTTTTTGATTGTAAATATCTAAAGATAAGCAGGTTTTACTGAAAAAAAAAAATGAAAACTAATAAAAAGAAGATTAATGAATAATGTATAATACTATAATGTACCACTTTAAAAGATATTGATTGATCAATTAGTGTCGTAGGCCAACTTTCCGATTATTTGTCAAGGCAGTATACGTCTCTCTCGACCAATTCGTCGAGAGATATCGAAGAGAACTTGTCGAACGGCCGAACGCCGACGCTGTTTTTCAACGAGACGATAGAATCATAAATCGTGAGCGAACGGAATAGAGCGTGGAGATTAAGGAGATTTATAGATCAGAGATATTACACGAGGTGTTCCAGGTCACTCGCAGTCCTTTTTTCGAAATGCGAGAAGCTATAGTCTTTTGAGTTTGAGTTCATTTATCTTCGCAATTCTTTGATAAATAACATTAAATTTGTTCATGAGCAAAAAACATTTTAAAATTTTATTAAAATTACATATATCTGATTAAAATTAAAGAAAGAGATTTATTGTCTTCTAAGGCTTTATAGTAAAAACTTCTGAAAATTTTTTACAACTTTTTATTCTTTACCGTTTATCGTTTGACAATATTGACATTTAATATTTCCTATTATTCAATATTATTTCCTAAGAACAAATTTAATCTACTTATTTCAAAATTTAGATATTATTTCGTGTTAATTAAAGAATCTGCAGATTGACAGAAAATGCAAAGAGATCTTGTATACCTTATATACCTTTTCTAGTACAGATTTGTGTTGCAAGGCGTTTCGAGGAAATGAAGGCTGGGAGAGTTCCGGCGAAGCATAATTGCCCGAAGCATAGCGCAATCATCGCGACCTAAAGCTTTAATAAAGAGACCCGGGCAGGTCTACCTTTGTACTTATTAATTGCTGTAGGAACGTCCAATAACAATGCGGAATTCCCATTGTTTCGCAGAAGCGATTTCGTAACAAACGACCGTTTCTCTTCCCGCGATTGGATCATAAGAATTTTCCGCAAATACGAGTTTCCGACTAATTCTTACACAAGCGAGATTCTGTATTTAATCTATGTAGTGATTGTAAAAACATAGCAACACAATTCTGAAACAATATTTCAAGAAAATTGCAGAATCCTTATAGAACCTGAAAGTATATTAAATATGACACACTTGATATACTTGAAGATTAAATTAAGGTTTTTAAAAAGGCGTTACGTTATTATTTCTCTGTGGCCAAAAGAGAAAGAAAGCAATTACATTGACAAATTCCTTTTTATAGCTAAATGTACTGCCGAACTCTCGGACGCCACGAGTTCTATTAAATAATTCGGCGATACGAAACGCGTGTATTTTTTGTGAAAAATTGTAATTGAAAGAATTGTAGCATAATTTCTTTGTCAATCACGATTGTACATGCTATCAGTTGTCACACACGCAATGCGTGTCGTTCGCACACGTCACATATACACACAAATTTACACCTGCGCGAAGTATTCGTTCACATATGCGTTACGTACAATGTTATATAAAAACTTACTCCGCGCTCGATCTTTTTCTTTTTCTCTCGAGAGTGTCGATCCCGAAAAAAAAGGGAAGAAACGGACGAGCGAAAGGACAAAAGAAGGACGGGTATCAAAAGGTTATGTGGACAACGGCCGGTTGTGACGAACTGGGTCCATTTCTTTCGAGGCGACGATAAGCACTCGGAGCCGACCAACTCGACTTCGTTACGCCATTTATCAGCAGTAGATACTGATAAGCGATAGCGTGTCTACCTAACACCCGGCACTGACGAGCGTCGAATCTTTGTATATTGTACGCACGGAGCCGCAAAATGATATAATAAAATATATCGAGAAATGCGCGTCGTGCTAAAGCGTAAAAGCAACACAAATTATTATTTTCCGGTCGTTGTCGCGAGTTATCAAGACCACAAATATGATACGATTGTAGTGGTGAGTGATAAAACTGTGAAATGTAAAGGGTATCGCATTATTTTCGTGTGTACAACAGTTCTAAATTAGTTCGAAATAATAAAAAATCCGACTTAATCGACCATAGTGAAACTAGTCATTAGAAAAGTGACCAATTGATAAGGAAATATTTTTTTCTTTCTTTTAAAAGAGCGCGAAGTAATGAAATATACTTCAAAACGATTGCTGATATAGCCGCGACAAAATTTATTACGCAACTCTATAAATGGAATTAAAACAACTGGAAAATAGAAATTGCGAATTTGCATATACATATGTATACATAATAAATGTCGTAATAGGCACAGATGCATGCGGATTGACCGAGTCACTTAAATCGCGTACATTTCCCGTTTATTTAATAAAAGCTCAAGTACGTGTGTTTCGTGCCCTTTCGCGCCTTTATCCGCTCGTAGATTCGTAACTATTGCCACGCCTCATGCACAAGCACGCTAGAAAAACCTTTGAGATAATTAAAATATATAGAAGCACTTTACGTTTCGCGTATTTAGAATATTAGATAGAGTCTAAATTCTTATCATAAATTTCTTCAAAATTTTCCTATCAACTTTTTATAAACAAAAAATTATCGCTATCAACGCAGCAAAATCTACTGCTAAAGCAATAATTTGAAACAATTTTTATAAAAAAATCAATATGGCATTTTTATGATGAACGGCTTCGTGGAACATATCACAAAGTTCTTATGTAGGTATTGTGTCGAGTCATCCGTATGATTTATATCGATCAGAGCAATTTTGAGGACAATCGAGAGTGCGGCTCGATGCTCTGCCTGTCTCGCGCACGAACAAACAAATTTAGCAGATCAGTGTTTCCAAACTGTGTCATAAAGCACGTTTGGAAGTATTTTGGACGCTCGCCAGACTTTCGTCGAGACATAATGTCAGTGTCAGTGCGTTATAAGCAAGAAGGAAGAAAGCAGGAGTTGTTAATCATTGGACAACGGTAGTGTAACGCTGACCCACGATAGATAGAAGCTGCATTATTTTTCCTCATTAGAATGCTTGAAGAAGTTTGTTTTTATGGGTGCGCTGGGTGTCAGTAGAATAACAAATAAAAAAATTCTAATTTGTTATGCAGATGACACGTATATTACGAGCTTATGAGGGAGTGACACACACGATCAATACGGAATAACGTGATTTAAATTCAGATCAACATGCAAAACATTGTATCGCGCTCTGAAGATCAATTTAATCCACTAATAATATAGTGGAAAAATTGTCCTTTAAATCTTTTTTCAGTTATTTCTTTTCTGTTCGGTTCTTCAGTTTTCTTCTTTTTTGCCACGTTAATGGATAAATTTGCTCGGTACTGCGGTTCGCGATATGATAAAAAAAAACGTACGAGGAGCGCGTACAGACATAGCCGTAGACTGGCATGTCGGTGCGTCGTGCCGCGGCGGCGTTGTATTGTTTGCAGCTTTCGCGTGCGACACGCAATGCACCGACACGCCGCGCCGCCGTCGCGCCGTTGCATACCGGCGAAGGACTTCGTTAGAGGGCCGTAGAAAAACCGACGAAATGACCGGCCTCGTCAGCAAATGAGGATTTGCGGTCGAGAAAGCAGGAGTATGACGTGGCCGAGCGTGAGTTAAGAATGGTTGGGCGGTATTGCGATGATAAACTTCCACCATGTAAATTAATGATGCGTTCTAGTGAACTGCATAAGCAATTAATTAAAAGGATGATTGATGACGAAGATTAAGTTGGTAAAAATCCGGCAAAGAGTTTATCAACAATAAATAAACGACAAGTAAACAATAAACAATAAATAAAACAAGAAATTTTTCTAGAGCTATTTTTCACAGAAATTGTCAATCCCTTTAAATTTTTCTGTACGATATAAAGTATGTACATTTGCTATATGTCAGCCAGGTAAAATACATCAAGAAAGATAGGAAAACCGAAGGAAAACAAAGATTATTTTCAAAGGTGCGCGACAGGTGGTGACGGTTAAATGAGATAACACGCCGATATCGCGGGCAATCAACATTTTACTACGCACGGGTTAAAAAAAGATGCGCGCTGAAAGTAGGGGAGAATTATGTTGTCCGTTCAGAACACGCGAAGGATGCACTTCCTCGGGACGCCCACGTTCACTCGTGATAACCGCCGCCGCCACCGCCTCTTGACAATGTCCTTTATGGAGCGAGACGTCGCGCTCGACAAGGCGCATCCATCGTCGCGTGGCACGTTGCATTTGGCCGTGTTAGAAAAGTCGAGTGGAACGTCTTTATTTCCGGCAGTGCTATTACCAGGGCGGAGGGACAAGCTTTAAAAGCGTCGACGAAAGCTATAAAAGAGTGGTCGCGGCCACCAATTTCCGAGCGAGCGCTACGTTAACTATAGGGACTAGGGACAAGAGAGGAACCTTTTAATTGCAATAACCTATAGGTATAACCTATTTCGCAACGCACTCCCAGCTAATAATCGTTTTATTTCACAATAAATCAGCCGTTTCTCTCTATTTACGTCAAAGCTTCGATACGATAGAACAAAATGGATATTTCAAAATTCAAATTAGAAAAATATAAAGAAATATTTCAGCCTTTTTGACTCAATATCGTGTATACCGTTTTTAATGTTAATTTTTGTTAATTTTAAATATGTTTGTTCAATTTAAGAACTACGAATGAGATATAATATCGATAAATGCCGCGTCAATGAATCCACATTCATTTGAAATAAGAGTAAAAATGCAGTGCATTTATGCTGCGTGCGCGCGTGTGCCGCGATGCGCGACTCGCGATTAACGCGATAGCTGGCGCGAGGTCTTTTGTTCGACGTAACAAATACCTGCAATCACGGGGCAGTATTATCGAGAGACAGGCACGGTACCATATGAATTGACACGAGGTGATTCACTCGAAAAAAATCTATTGCACCATTAGAGACATAAAAAAAGATTGCAAATTGTATATTTTCAAAAAATAATTATTCGTGGCTAATACGTCGACGTAATACCATATTGCTAAATGTTGCAGATGTCATCTATGAGAAAGATTTACGAGGTATAAAAATAAACGAGAAGATTATATTTCTAATTGTTCTGTTCTGAGTAATTTTCATTTTTAGCATTTACAACATTTACAGTTTCCTCAAATTTGTTTAAATTCGAGGAAACTGTAAATGTTTTAAAAAAATTATGTCAGTAACCATCAAACATGTAAATCAAGTCCTCGCTACAGTCCCATTGAACATACATATATCAGGTTGATAAGAAACTCCACTTTGCTGCATTCCACAAGAGAGGTAATCAAAATGTCACTTGGAGTGAACCAGGAAAAACTGCGATATGTAGTCATAATACAAAACTGTCAACATTTTTATTGCGGCATGCAGACTTTCCTTTTGCAAGCGATTATATAAACCGTATTAAATAATTGCCCCGTCGATGTCCTTTAATCTATAGATCGTTGCAATCATTAAGTATTACAGTGGATTGCCTCATGCTTTTTTGTGCACTCGGTGTATTATAACAACGGCAGCTGAGAATGAACAACGGGAAAGACGCGCAGGTCGTTTATCGTTTTTTTTTAGTGCACAACGGCCGTCACGAGAATCCTATTGTCGAGCGTAACGAATACAAAATAGTAGCTCGACGCTTTTGTCGGACGAGAAAAGAGCTAGATGTGAATCAAATAAACGAGCGAGTAATTGTGATGCGACAATCGGATTCTCACGAGAAGAAATCGTCTTATATCGTTTAAACGAAAAAAAAAAAAGAAAACGAAAAAGAAAAGAAAAAAAGAAATACCTAAATACAGTGAAGCAAATGTATAAGACGCGTTTATACTTTCGAATGTAAGAATAAAAAATAAATATAAAATTTTCAGTAATGACATTTGTGTGTATATGAAGACACTAATAAAGATATTGTATAAATATATTATAGCAATACCCTCTTACACAGTTATAACACTTAGTTTGTTTTGTAATAATATGTGAAGTTTAGACTTTTATATGAGATAATCATTATTTGTAATTTATTGCAATGACGCATCACGTCTATCATATTTCTTTTTGTTTCTTTCATTTTTAGTCACTTTATACCTTATTTTTAACAACGCGCGTGCATCATCGCTTGAAAAACAGTTCGCGACTGTGAAATAAACTTCTCTTTGTTCCGCGCTGTGCTCACGGGCGAAACGGAAAACGGAGCGACGAGCATTTGAATCGCAGATTGTGCGTTATCTCACCGGAATAATGGCCGTTTAATCAAACTTTTCCCGTCAAATCCGCAATTAAACCTGCTATTGATACATGTCGGGGTCGTCCACGAGCGTGATAAACTCAAGACCCTTCTGCCGCAGTTGTCGCTCTTTCGTTTGAGTAACTCATCGTTTCGATTGAATCTATGAGCTTGGTTGCACCAGTGATTCTTACTTGATTAATGCTACTCAGCGATCGTTAGTTTCTATCCATATCACAGTTGTAACATGAACAATTTTGTATCTTTATACTGCACATATAAAAAAACATAAAAAATAAAAGTAAAAAAAAAGAGATCTGTTTGACAACACGGCTTTTTAAATCTCTTGGAAAAAGTGCGTACAGTAGTATATTTTCCATCGAAAAATATCGAATAAAGATATAATCACTATACGCCATCGAGATCTGCAATTTAAATTTATGGAATTCTACAAGGTAGTCTATAACGATAATTTATGTTAAACATGCATATGGACTTCGTACCGAAAAGATCAGTTATAGTGTACTGTTGGTTTATGCACAGATAACTGTGAGATTAACGTTAAGCCGATGTTGGTTACAACTGAAGGATAACCGCAATTGGTCACTTCTTGCTTTTCATGATGAAACAAAATCGCGTTATGATTATGCGCATATTGTGCATTTATGTTGAATTAACGAGCGATAGTGACGCTTCATTAAACGACAAAAAGGTGTTTTTACGTGTTTTCCGCGCGAGAATGCGGTCGCCGCTGATTCGAAAATAATCGATCGCTCGATCGAATTATAAATGTAAATACTGAGCTGATTACAGCGTATAATTTTCAATTAATGCGAGAACAAGAGTTCCTCGGATGGCCTTCTGATGATTTTCAATAAATGATCGGTGTCTGATAATTCGAATATAATAGGCTAATTTATACTTTGATACGCGTTCATTGCACTCGATTATATAAAATACCTATAACAGCACACATGATAAAAAAAGGTATTAACACTTTTTCTTTCTTGTGCAATGTTCTCGTCAAAAGAATTTTTTTAATTGTAAAATACTGCACATTAGAAATAAAATTAATTTAACAATGAATGTAATACATTTTATCAAAAATAGTTTTACATTGTATTAAACTTTCTCTCTCTCTCTCTTTTTAAAATAATATAAAATAAAGTTAAACCAATAAAAATCGTTTAATAAAATTCTCTAAAAATAAAAAAAAGGCTCACACTACCAGATTCACAATAACGTCACGTCTACAAATTTTTCAATAATTCCGTCTGATTCATTTCAATGTATTCTTTCTGCACGATAAGTTCGTATAATTTTCCAAGAAGCTATTAATCTAGATTAGACGTTATCCTTTGTGGAAGGCAAATTGTTAAGATGAACAAAGAGCCGAGTCACGGTAGACGAAGGAAAAGCCATCCAAGTGACCCGAAACACGCGTAATATCGCAAAGGGTAATGAACAGAATCTCGTACTAATTATGCTCGCGAGGCGCAACCGTGGAATTATATACGGGTGGTTATATAAACCGTTAATTCTTATACGCGTACACACGTGCGCGCACTTCCGTCTATCTATTCTTTCGTTTGCTTTTAATACGCGCGCTATTCGCGGCACCGTGAAAGCTGTAGGGAGAAAAGGAGGAAGAAAAGATTATCCTGGCCGTAAGACGGCCTGAACGGCTTGAAGTCGTTACGCTAACTAATAACGCGGAACGTTTTCGGCCACGCGAATCCGGTTTTCTATCTTAAACGCGCGAGGTAGGTGTAAATTAAAACGCACTTTCGCACTTTTATTTTCCTAAACAAAGAGAGAAAGAGAATAATAGGAGTGACAATTCGATCCATTTAAAAAATATATAAATAAAAAATGCAAAATAAAATATATTAAATTATTTCTACCATTTCTAGAAATACTAGATCTGCGTTGAAAAGATATTCAGACGTTCAAGTCACAACGTATAGACTTGGTAGCGATCGCATGGTGAAATTAAATATGTTTCGCGAAATTCGCACGCAACCATGAGTCTCTTTTTGCGAACAATGTATAATTATCATTCAGATTATTCACAATAAGTAGACGTTGCTTTGTGCCACAGACACGATCAGAGTCTACACAAATAAATCGTACGCATATTTGCGTACAGTAGCGTGACGTAACGCTGCAAAATCGCACATACTGGTATCGGAATTTGTTTATTCTTCTTGTTAGCTTAAGAGAGAGACGTCGCGTTGCGAGGTCGACACGCGAGAAGCAGTTTTACTGCGCAACCTAACCTTGTTAAGGACACGTTTGTTTAGTGCATTAGCGAGATTTGTTCGCTAATTCAATTTTTCGCGGTTGAAAGTTTCGTTTTGAGTTTCTTATTGACTCGTTATATGGTGTTACGTTATGGAACGCGATAATAATTCAGTCGAATAAAGGTTAACGATTATCAATAATTTCGAATAATTGTAATAGAGAGTAATATTTTTATATGTGTGGTTAGTATAAGAATATGTGCTTAAATTCTCCAAACTTAGGTCGTCACGTACAAATAATTCACCTTGCTCGAGCGGATGAGATCACTCGATTAACGAAATCACTCAAGCGTTATCGCTATTATCACAGCTTACTGTATAATCACCACCGTGGAGAAACTAAAAAAAAACTCGAGATTTCTATGTGAAGAACCGCATAACGGCGCGTTATTTTCACAGAGCACTTCAACGGCACTTTACCGATATTTCCTCGTTAAGCTCGAACGCGACGACCGCGACGCAGCGGATCACATTATCGTCTCTCACTGATAAAGAGTTCGGGCGTGATCGTTGATCTTCGCGAAAGTCTAAGGTCCGGCACGGAGAGCGCGGAGTGTCGAAAATCGTAAGCACCGGAAAGAGAAGAAAAAAACTGCTCGGAGCACGGCACGGCGCGGCGCGGTGTGGTGTGGTGTGGCGCGATGCACACACTCGTGACACGCGGTGACGCACACGCGAAGCGTCACTGAGATACGGTGCGCGCACTGCGCGCGCTCCTCTCGTTCAGTTCCAGCCCGGCTCTATTCGATTCGGCTCGGCTCGACTCGACTCGGCTCGCCGCTCGTCGCACGCGAGCGCTACTCCAAGTGCTCCAACTGCTCCACTCGGTTTGGTTCGGTTGGCGGCTTGACGAGACGCGGCACGAAAAGTAGCTCGAACGAAGAGCGCGCGCGGCAAGTCGGCAACCGGACTGCTATACGCTTGGTGACGCGGGCGACCGGCGAAAGCGGAGTCACAGCCGGTGTTCGTACTTCGTGACTCATGAGCCAACTACATAGCTAGCCAGCCGGTTCGCGTACGGTCGTTCGAACCGCGCGCGCCTACTATCGTAGGACGAACTCGAGCCGTGCAAATGCCGATAACAATGCTGTTCGCTCCATCGACAACGTCCGGCGATTTGTCAAGCTATTTAAATTTAGTCGCAAGATTTCGAATGTACAATATCTGGAAGAAATTACGAGACAATATTAAAAATTTCGAGTAATTTGAGTTTTTGTAGATAACTATATCTCTTCTTATTTCAATAAGGACTTTTGCAACAGTGATGAATTCCAAAGTATTCTTATATAAAAAATGATAGTAACCATGTAATAAATTAAAATAATTTTGCCTACGCTTTCCAATTATAGGAATAACATTTTCGAGTTTGAGTGCGCTATTTTATATTTTGCGACAAGGAATATAAATACATGTGTTAAAACAATTTAAAATTATGTACCCGTTATACTCTCAACTTATTTCGAATTTTCTAGATGTCAAATTATCTCATATATCCATTCTTATCAAATATTCTAATCAAATATCTGAATATCTCTCATTACAAATCGGATACTGGATTTGGTAATTCAAATTTACAACTAAAGCACAACCTATTAACAAAATTATATATATGTCTGCAGCACTATTTGTAAATCCACACGTGTAAAAGGAAATAAAAGAAAAATAAAAAAATAATAGCATATTTTCAATCAAGATTCACTTTTTTTGCATTCGCACACTTTCTCGCTCGTGATTTTTTTTTTATTTTTTAGTACGAAAAACTGATCACTTTATGTAGATCCGATTTTCCTAATCAACTCACAGCTCGTGCAACGCACGCAAGTTGCAAAAAATTGTACGTATTATATCTTATCGTCTTTCGCAGTGGACGAGAACTGTGAAAGCCAACGAGATAAAGAGGACCGCGTGAATCACGCTCTCGCGATCGAGTGTCTCCGTTCGACCCACAATCGGTTATCGGCGACGTTCATTCGCCGATCTCGGGACCGATGTCTAGCGGAAGACTGATCGCCAAGAACTGGAAACATTCCGGATCCCGTTCGCGTTATCCAGGGAGTTGCGCCGCGCGCGCGATCGCGACCTTCGTGCTCTCTACCGGGATCGATCGATCGGAACGGGAGTCGATCGTGGAACGAATTACTGATCCACGCGAATACGGGCGAGGTAAAAGGATAATTGCTACACGATGCCCATTTCACGTTACTTCGAGCGGCTTTATCGTCGCGCTCCGCTGTGTAATCTTAATAGTTCCTCGATTCCGAGCGACCGCTTCCAAATATCTACACGATGCGTAATTCGTGAAAAAAGTTCACGCGATACCACTTGAAATCAATTTGAGAATTTTTGGCACGAAATATGGGCACGAAATATTAGCCCAAGAAGGCAAATATTAATTGATTCGTGAAACAAAAAAGTAATTTAATTATAAAAGGATGTATTAATAAAGTCCAAAAAACTTTATAATAGATTCTTTCACTCATTATTTGAATATGCCCAATTTTTCCGGTCGTTTCGGACTGTGTGAATTTTTAGTAAGTTTAGACGTTTCCGTTAAACCGGTAAAAGTTCGACGTAGGACATAAATAATCGAACACGAGAAAAATAAATTTTAGACACAGAAATTGTTGAAATACAAGGAAGTCGTTGGTATCGACAAATTTCTTTCAGCTCTTCCGTCGTGAGAAAAGTACGAAAAAGTAACGTTTGTCTTTTCGGTTTTTTAACTCTGTGATCAACGATGTGATCAACTTGAACAGTGTAAAGACTGGATATAATTTTGAGAATGATAATTGTGTAAATTGATTAATAAAATACAGAAATAGAAAATCTCATGAAAAAAGAGGCTATTCAAATCTATAATATAATTTCTTCTAATTCTTTCAAATTTGACTTTTTTTTTATCAAAGAAATAACATGATCAAAACTTATTTAAAAATATTTTCAGTGAATAATCCTTTCCTATCATGAATATATTTTATAATTATAATTTATATAAAACTGATTTATAAAACAAAGAACGCTTTACGTTCAAATTTGCAATACAAAAATGAAAGTAAATTTATTCAATAATATTGAACATGTGCATGCTAAAACGACAAAAAACGAATAACATCTGTCCGATGTAAAAATTGTGAACAAACATTTAATTTTTGTTCCCGACAAGAGATATCTAACATTGACTTGGCGTGAATTCTCGTCACTAAATAAAACGATCAATTAACGCGTTAAGTATCTCCTCACGTTTATACGCGCGTACATAAAATCGTGGAAGGAGCTAAATTTCGGCCGAACGCATTTTTTTCTTCGAGTAGCAGTTTCGCGGATAAATATACCTATACGATAAGATTGCCGGCAGTGCCGGAAATTTGATTCGCTGAATCATTGAAAAAATAGAGAGCAGCGGAAGCGTACGGTTATAAGGATTATCGGTTATCCCTGCTTTTTATTGCCCTTTCCGCCGCGGTGGACCACCCGTGGTATGCACGCTGATTAACTCGCGGAGCGCATTCCTCGCGTCTCGAGAAAGATTCAAAACGTAAAAGCTAACGTTTTTGATCTGATTTTCTATAATATAAAAGCGAGTTTCTATAATATAAAAAGAAATTTTATATTAACAATCGCTAGAGACCTATACATTTTTGTTACTTTTTTAAATTTCATTTTTCATTATTATCTCTGTATATGGATGCTCATCTAAAAGATAAATCTAGATCTTAGATCTATTTTACATACGA